TATCTTTTAAGTCGAGAATTTGCTTGATGCGATTTACATTTGATGTGTAGTTTGTAAAAACATTGATAAAAATAGTAACGCCTGAAAATTATTATGAAATTAAAAAATAATGATTTGTAACTATATATATAAAAATTATTTAAGTTACGAGTTATAATTTTTTTTTAAATGATAAATTAAATTAAGCAGTGTCATCTAAAATAGAAGGGTGAAAGAAGTTAGTAGTATTCAAAATAAGATGTTGACAAGGCACTACCCAATTAGTGATAGTAATAATCAAGTTTTAATTGGTTGAAAGGAAACTAAATTGAGTGTATTCAGGGGATAAATATGGCCGCCTTTGTCTGTTGCCAAACCTAATACATTTATCATGTCATAACTTGCCATATATATAGATATACTCTCAACAATCTTTTTGAAATTTCTTGTTTCAATTTAAATTTCCTAAACACTACAAAAGATTAAAACGAAAATATGAAAAGGTAAAGTAGTAAAATAAATGAATTGATCCAAGTAAAAACTGCCAACATATCAATATAAAGCAGTATGTATCAATTTATAGGATATAATTTTTTTAAAAAAAAATCCTCCAAATAAATGATGATAAATATTTAGAAAAATTACATATATACACAATTTTATTATATTTCCTATCATTTTTTTAATTATCGGATATATCACTTTGACGCAATGTATCGATCAAATATATCACTGTACGCGATGTATCGGCACGTAATACATAACTTCGATGTATTGAGATGTGTGTGATGTATCAAGACATTGATGTGAAGTATCCGAAAATGAGACGTGATGTATTAAGACGTTGAACAATGTATCAGCAAGACATTGAGCGATAAATCAGAACGTTTTGAAATGTTCTCGGATTCCCCTAAATTTTTTGTAATTTTAAAAAAATATAATTTAATTAGTTCTGAACACAATAGATTCATATAAAATTCCCTAATTGTGTCACTATTAAAAAAAAAGATCTCTATCCTTATTTCTAAAACTCTGTATCAATCAAACTATAATACATAAATTAGAATAATGAAAATATTTTCTTTTCCAATTCTTTTGATAAAACAAAGATGGGAACCTTTAGCGGCATGATTAGTGCATTTTTGGTTGTTGTGAGGAGCGACCTCATTTTCGGATTTTAGAGTAATCACTTATTTCTTATGTTATAGATATAATTATTTATTATTGTATCAAATGCCAACAAGTTATGTGACCTTTTAGTCACCAGAAAATATAATTAGTGATGAGTGACACTCTACTATGCTTATAATTAAGCTAAGTGGGGGAATTTTTTCTTTCTAAATAAAATAAAATGATGCTTAATTAAGCAAAGTGATTTTGACGTAAGGAAATAATTTTTTTTTCTTTCTAATCATCCATGAAATCGTCAATTATTCTAGTTGTACTGAAACAAAATGTTGAAGAATAAATTAAAAAACATGAAACATGTGGATATAATAACTATAGCAAGCATTTTTCATATTCACTAAGAAAAATCTCATAGTGACATTTTTATCAACTTCAGGACTTCTAGTTTTTAAAAGATAAAATAAAAATATGCAGCACGTAGAAAGAAATTATATACACCGCAAAATTTGCAAGGTCTCACGTGTGTAAAATAAATACAGCTAAGCTAGGATTGTTCATGGTTATGATTAACAATCAAATAAAATCGCAATTTGAATTAAATTAATTTTAAAAAAATTGATATTAGTTTAATTAGGTTTGGATTTTAAATTTTGAAAACAGATACTATTTAGTTTGATTTTGATTTTACTAAAAAATAATCCGAAAATAACCAAATCGAATTGATAAATTAGATATATAAATTTTATAATTATTTATATATTATTCATAAATAAATTTAAAATATTTTATTAAATTTTAATTAATTTAAGTCTTTAACTTTATCATTTTCTCAAGCCCGACACTTAAACCCAAGTAAAACAATCTCAAATTCAAGTCCATCAAAATCCATTTTAGTTTCTACGTACTCTACTTCACATAAAATAGTCACACACTTTAATATTGCTTAATTGCTTGACTGAACCGACATTAACTTTTCTGTATATTGTTCGTGTAATTGGTGTTTGTGTCTATCTAGATATGTACGCACTCAAAACAATTATCACTTTTAATCTGAATAAACCAAAAAAACTGAACCAAACCGAACCAAATCAACAATAACCAAACCGATGATTAATTTTATCGTTTGGCTTGGTTTGGTTTTAGAAATTCAAAATTCCAACTAGATTGATTTGATTTTAGTTTTAATCAATAACCGATTTAAATCGAACTACAAACAACCCTAAATACAACAATTAAATGCACATCAAATAATGTATAAATAACTTAATTTCTGATTTGATTATTAAATAAATGCACATTAAATAATATATAAATAACTTAATTTCTGGCATAATTATTAAAGTTCTCTGTAATATTGTACTGCATATATATTAGTGTTAAGAAAGTTAAATAATTTTATTAGCTGCGATTATTTCCAAAAAGTTGATAGTTCTGCTATTAGAGTGTGATGATACGCACATTCTTATACATTAGTTTGGAATATGTAAATATATTATTTCAAAAAATTGAACAAATTATTGTTAGGATTCACATAAAAATTACTTTATTCATGATCTTAAATATATCAAGTTAATTATAATTAATTTAATCCATTGTTCTTTTTTTGGATTATATCATTGCAGAAGATAAGCATCACGATAAATTTATTAAGAAACATAATATCCATGAGAATATTTTAATTATTAATTAAACACAAGGCAATTATATTTTTATATCAATATAAAAATTAAATCATAGTAGTAAACATACAAATTCTTCCATTTCTTATTTTCTTTGTTGATACTAGAAAATAAGTTAAACGTGAAACAATTTTCACATTGTTAGGTCAAAGAACTAAAGCCAAGTGTACCACTCTAATTATGTTGTATTAGGCTACATAATGATGAGCACAAAATAAAATTCTATGATCACTAAAAAACAGAGAGAAAAAATCACTTATTTGGAATAATTTGGTGGTTATTTTTGGATTGTTTCTTACTACTACTGGTATATTATATTACTCCTAATTTAAATCACATGTGATAAATTCATCCACAATTTTTTTTTTAAAAAAATAGAAAAATTAAAGGAGGAGCCAAAACCTTTGCCTAAAGATTTTTCTCAACCACACCTTCGCTAGCATTTTTTAAGCCACCCAAACCCATCCGTGTCATTTGATTCCACCTGTAAATTCATTATATTTTTCAATTTTAAGAAAAAAATATTTTAAAAATATATTTTTTACAGTAACTAACAAAAAGACATAAAAATAAAATCGTCAACAAAAAGCTAATTTGATTATCTAAATAGTAACTGCATTACATAAACTATCTTTGCCTACCGCTTAAAAAAAAGGAGTCTGTTTTTCTAATTTCTGAACAAAAAAAATTGATTTTTAATATATTATTTCATTTTAATTAAGCAATTTAAATTTATATAATGTCTAAAACTTATTTTAAATTATAAATTTTGAAAGTATATTTTTCTATTCCCTCATGCTTTGTCAAACACCACATAGATGGAAACAAATGGAGAGATTATTATTTAATGTTATATGTGTATTAATTTAATTATCTTATTTTGATATATATAAGTTTCGTTTTATGTCTTAATTTTATAAAAAAAAATTACTCCTAAAGTTTGTGATTTTCGAAATTTCTATAATAGGATGTCATTTAGATAAATTAAAATAGTAAATTTTTTTAGAGTAAATAAAAATTTTCAAAATGTATCCACATTAATATTCAAAAATGTAAATATTCTTTTTATGTATATACTCTAAACTCTGCTACTTACCATTTCGAGATTGATGAATCATAAGCTACATCAAAAATGCAGAAAGAGTTAAAATTCTTATAAATTACAATAATATTTTTAGCACTAAACACAGCACATCACTTCCAAAAAGATCAATTCGTATAAAATACTCGCTCCATTTGTTTCTATTAAAAACAAATTTCTACGTTCAGTAATTAAGGTATTTTATATATATTTAAATATTGAATAATAATGATACTATTATTTATTTTTTAATATTTATGTGTTTAATTTATATATTACTAGACATAATAAATGTACAATTTAATTAAAATACTTAAATATTAGAAAAATAGACATTTAATAAAAGAAAATCATTATTTAACTAAAAAATATGAATATAGTCCGCTAATGATATTAGAAAAATAGTTTATAATAGTAACTAATTAGTGTTTATGTCTAATAAAGGTGATGGTGATAGTTGTTATGAGAGAGATCAATAGTGTGGTAGAAACTAATGTTGTGGTATTTGTGATGGTGAAATTGAGTTAATGTCAGTAGAATTTGTTGTGCATATTTGATGATATTGGTGATAACTGACGATAATACTATTTGTGATGGTAGAGATGATTAATAGTAGATTTTGATTATAGTAATAATAAAATAAAAATAACGATGATAGTTGATAATAGTTTGTAATACTAACTACATACTTACGTAAAGTTATCTAAATGATATTAAGTCAATAAATAAGAAAAAATTCGCACCAAGGATAGATTTAAGCATTTCGATGGGAAATTGAAACATCTTGTTTCACCAAACAAATTAACCTTCTCTTATTTTCTGGTTATATTAGATTTTTTTTTTTTTTTGTTCTAAGTTGCATTTAATAAAAGATCACATGATGTAGATTAATTTTACAGCTCAGTTCACCACTTTACCTAATATTAAAATGATGAAAATCATGAAAAAAAGCCAAAAACTTTTTTAACATAAAGATTTTATGAAATCTCATCTAACTTTCACTTCCACCCCCACCCCCATATCCTCCCTCCTTCCTTACATGGTGGGGTGGCTAACACTACACTATTCCCACGTGCTTTCTCCTCTCCACTTATATAACACAATCCTTCCTTCTCCTAACAACCGAAAAAAAAGAACAATCCATTTCTCTTCCAATTTTTCCAAACGGATCCGACCCGATTCACCCCTCACATGGCCTTAGTTCGTGATCGCCGACACCTAAATCTCCGTCTTCCCTTACCGGAACCCTCCGAACGACGTCCTCGTTTCCCCTTACCTCTCCCTCCATCTTCCGTACCCACCGTCAACTCTACCGCCAGCACCACCACTGCTACAAATACTACGACGACCACCACTGCTTCTACTACCACTATCTCCATTTCGGAACTTGAAAAGCTTAAGGTTCTCGGTCATGGAAACGGTGGAACTGTGTATAAAGTCCGTCATAAGCGGACCTCCGCGATCTACGCTCTGAAAGTTGTTCACGGTGATAGTGACCCAGAGATTCGCCGTCAGATCCTCCGGGAAATCTCAATTCTTCGCCGGACGGAATCTCCTTACGTTATCAAGTGTCATGGAGTTATTGATATGCCCGGCGGGGATATCGGTATTCTTATGGAGTATATGAACGCCGGTACATTAGAAAATCTACTTAAATCACAATTAACTTTCTCCGAACTCTGTTTAGCGAGAATCGCTAAGCAAGTGCTTGGTGGATTAGACTATTTGCATAGTCACAAAATCATTCACAGAGATCTAAAACCTTCGAACCTTTTAGTGAATCGTGAGATGGAGGTGAAAATCGCTGATTTCGGAGTGAGCAAAATCATGGGAAGGACTTTGGATCCTTGCAATTCATACGTTGGAACTTGTGCGTATATGAGCCCAGAAAGATTTGATCCAGACACTTATGGAGGTAACTACAATGGTTACGCAGCTGATATATGGAGCTTAGGTCTCACTTTAATGGAACTGTATATGGGCCACTTTCCGTTCCTGCCGCCGGGTCAGCGACCGGATTGGGCTACTCTGATGTGCGCTATATGCTTCGGTGAACCACCAAGTTTGCCGGAAAATACGTCGGAAAAATTCAATGATTTCATGAAGTGTTGCTTACAGAAAGAGTCCAGTAAGAGATGGAGCGCTCATCAACTTTTGCAACATCCGTTTATACAGAGTATCGATTTGAAATCCACCTAAAAAGGGAAAAAAGCAAGCTAAAAACTGGAATTGGAATCCGAGTTACTGTAAATAGAACGAGATTCTTCTTCTTTTTTTTTTTGGTTCACTTTTTGTATATTCTTCCACTTTGAATCTGAAATCGAAATCAGAATCATCCTCTGTACTGGAAAAAAATGCTCCATTTCCACAGCTAAAATCATCTGTGGAATTTTGGGACCTAATGAATTTTAACTTTTCTTCCAGCAACTTCATCAAATCTGGCAAAAAAAAATTTCCTAATTCAAATTCAAACATATAATCATCTTTCATTTTTTTATTTTTGTATTTTTTTATTTTAAAAAATATTTTCTTATGTTAAAAATGAAAATGGTTAGGCGAGGAAGATGAGCTATCAAACAGGCTCGTGAATCATCATAATAATCCAACCAGCACTGAGCAAATTATAGCTGAAAAGATAAGAAACCTTTATTTTATTTTTTTTGGCTAATAAGGATTAAGCTTGATTTGATTTGTCGATTAAAAATAATATCTACAATACATATTATATTGTTATACCTTTTTTATTCGTAATTCTGCGCATAAATGATGCAAATGTGCGTTAGGAGAGGCTTGTCTTTATTAGTTGTCACGCTTGTATTTTTTTTTAATTTCTTTTTATGGTATGTAAAACTCATAGAACTAGAATATAAAATTGATTACATATATAGTTTTTTTTATTTAATTATTCTTAGAAGAAAAATGAAGTTATATATAATTACTCCATCAGATATGTTGGGTCTTACGAAATGTTTTCTCTAATTAGATTGTAAATGATGTCGTCCAATTCATTTTTAAAAGCGTTTAATCAAAATTTGTAAATGATGTTCATATTAATTTCTACAAAAGCTATAGCACAAAACTCGTCCTTTAATATAAATAAAACGACACTTTGTTGTGGTAGTTCGCTGCCTCATTAATTAATTACTTTTTAATCTTTTATCAATATCAAGAATTATCACTTTATTAAGTTTGTATTGGTAAACAATGTTATCTTAAATGTACTCCGGTCTCTATTTAGTTGTCCATTTTAGAAGTGTCATACATAATAATGCATCAATTATTATTATATGTTAGTTACAATTTTATCCTTAACTTAAAAAATTATGTAATTCTTCAATATAATAAATGTATTTTCTGGTTCGAAAAAAACATTTCTTACAACTTAATAGTACTAGAAATTTTCTAGAACTAAATAAGGATATCTTAGAAATTTCTTGATTTGATAAAATGGACAAGTAAATAAGAACAGATATAAAAAGAAATATGGACAAGTAAATAAGGATTAGGGACAAAGGGAGTATTAGTTTCCTCTATTCCCCTTTATTAAGACCAAACAAAAGTAACCAAACATAAATTTTGATGTAGTGGTGAAAGTGCTTGGCTTTTAATAAATTTATTTTGAATTTTGAGTCATATTAAAAGCATCACTCTGGAATAAATTTTAAAATGCCTAATTCAAATCTAATTAAAATTCTTATTGAAAAAAGAAAATGTTTAACAAGAGTAATTTTAAACTGATCCACAATAAATTTCTTTTACGTGCATCATTATTTTATCTTATAAAGTAGTTAGGTAGATTCCCGATTCCTTTCAAATGAATACGTTAAAATTTTCTATAGCCGTCAAAAAACTACAAAAATGTGACAGTGCCGTTTGGTCTATTGGGACAAGTTTTTATTTAAACAATTTTCCCCACTTGCGTAGTTGCTTTTGTAATGATAATTACAATGACATGAGGGCAAGTGGTCATGTTCTTGGAGCCTTCCTACTTATAAATCTATCTTAAATTTTAAAAAATATATATTTGATAACTTAGTTACAAATTAAAATTTACTTACTTGGTAAAATTACACTTAAAAAATTTGTGAAAAAAAATTTGTATTTATAAAATAAAATACAATTGAATACTAAAATTTTATCTTCGAACAAATTTAAAATCAAATCGAGTTCAAATTATAATTTCATATTATATATTTAAACTTTTAAAATCGACCTAACTTCACCGGATTGTTTTTAATAATGTAAGTCTTAAGAAGTATTCAAAAAATAAATAAATTCAACTGATTATTTCTGAATTAATGTCAATAGGTTTAGTATAACTTGGACTTAAGAGTGAGTCTACTTCCCTTATGTGCGGCAATAACAAACTATATATCTCCCAATAATATATATAATTCACATGTAAAACAGACTTTTAATTTCTCAAAAAAAAACAAACTTTTGTATAAATATTCCAGAGATTGAATATCACATAAGATATATATTTGTGGAATTTCTGTGCAATATATATACAAACATATATGAAGTTTGAAAAGTATCACATCAAATGTAAATTTAATATTCGAAATACAAGTGTTGGCTTTGAAAATACTGAATATTCAAATGGAGGATTTGCCCTCGTGATTGAATTACTGTAACCAACATGCATGCATTGTAGCAAGTTTTGAAACAACGACAAAGTTTAGAAAGAACAAAAACTCTTTCCATTCATTTTATATATTATCTAGTTTAGCTTGACATGAAGTTTATAACAGAATTTTTAAAAAAAAAAGAATTTATGGTTTAAAACGAGCGATAAATATTTGTATGACTATGAATTATTTCATTAAGGATAAAATAGATATTTTAAAATTAAATTATTTTGAATATTAAAATGTGTCATTTCTTGGTATCGATTACGATATAAAGTAATATAAATTGGGACATAGAGCTTTCAAAGTGTAACGAAATAAATTTTTAAAATTCCATTAGCTATAGAGTAGGAAATAATACTTTCTCCTTCTCATTTTATATGTCATCCTTTTCTATAAATAGCTAGATAACAATATTTTCTACTCCTTTCGCCTGATATTATTAGTCATAGTTTCTATTTTTAGAGTCAAATTATAAAACTTTGACTAACATTTTTTTATGTATTTTTTCATCATATTAATACGCAAAAATTGCAATTTATAGTACTTTTCATATAGTTTTAGAACATTTAAATTTTTTATTTAAAATATCGAATTAATGTGATCTAGTTTAACTTTGAAAATTAGTCAAATTGACTTTAGAAAAGCACAACATGACAAACAATTTCGAACGGAGGAAGTATTTTATAAAATTGATGCATAAATTACCAAATTTTGCCTATTATACCCTTGATAGAGTAGTTAATTAATCTTGTCACTTAAAGTTATTTAAAAAACATTAAATAAGAGTAGAAGAGTAACATTACATCATTTCTTAATGCAAGTACAAAATAAAAATGTAACATATAAAATGAGACGGAGAGAATAGTAAATAGGACGACAAATATTTGATATGAAATGAGCATATAATAGATTGTAAACAGTGCAAAAAAGAAAAATCATTGATAACGTATATAACTAAAATGCGATGATAGCAAAATCGAAAAATAGAGAGCTTTCGAGACAGCTTGAGTGAGATGTGGACAATGAAAATGGAAAATTGGGTCAGCTAAAATGGTTAGATATGTGTCTTATTCACCACCAGGTTTTTACTGATCGATGCATGAAAGTAAAATACAGGCGAAGCTAGGTAGGGGTAAGGAGATTTGATAAATCGACTTTGAAATATTAATTATACTATTTATATATATAATTAAAATTATTTTTTAATGTATACATTATATAATAGACAATGTTGAACTCTTTTTCACTTTTTCAGTTGTTTATTATTTTTTATATTTTAAATCTATTTAGTGAAAAATCTTGACTCTAACGCGGGAAAAAACATATTTCCCCTTAATCATTGTCATTCATTGAACTCCCAAAACCTCATATTATTATATATTAGTGTACAAAAGCCAAACAGAAATTTCATATTTACCAAAAATAATAAGGGATTTCCAAGAAACAACGACGTTGTGAATTTTTGACAAGGAACAAGAAAAGTAGATTATGTTGATAGACAGAATCTATTACTAAGATGGGTACGTTTTGGAGGTATTCTTTCAACTTGCCTATTTTCAATCACCAGCACCAACTATATCATGATCTATACTTGGTTTATTATATTATAACATCACTTTTTGAAGTGTTTTAGGGATTTGGGAGGAAACTGCATATCTAATGGGGTTGCTAACAAAAGTAGTAAAGTATTGTTTTAATTTGTTTGTCCTATCTTTATTTAATCTATCTCAGAAAAAATATTTATTTATTTTTTTGATGATTATTTAATTTCAGTTTTTCACATGGTATGTTTAAGATTTCCATATTTTACATGTCTATCTTTTATTTATGATCACAAAATTTAGACTCCGTATCAAGTTGTGTTACGTTGTTTGCACGTAAAGAGACTACTAGTAATAGATAATGCCCATTATAATAGTCTCACACGTCACAACTGAACTCTCCCAATTGAATAGTCCTCAAGAAGTCTCTATCATTCCCCACAATAATGGAGGACGTGAATTGAACTGCAATTCTTAGTACATAATTTCCTCTGTATGGTTACATGTTAGGCTACCTTAGTTTGGCCTTCGAGTTAAAAAGTAAAGAATTAAAGATCAATAGAAAATTTTCATCGATATCTATTAATTAATCAAATATGAATCAAGTGTTTTCAATAAAGTATACGGAAAAGGGCCTAAAATACCCTTAAAATATTGAAAATGGTACAAAATTACCCTTTATCCACCTATTAGCTCCAAAATGCCCTTTTCATCCACCTATTGGCTCCAAAATACCCTTGTCATCCACCTTTGGATTCAAAATTGACCACTTTTTTAATTGTTTTAAAATTAAACTATTTAAATATTTTTTAAAATACTTAACGTTCAACTATTGGTTATAATTTAATTTATTAATATAATAAATAAATCAACCCACTACTCACTAATTACTAACTAAATCTCACCCAATTAATAATTCAATTATAATATCAATATCATCATAAATACTACTAAAACACGATGAAATTAAAGATTTCTGAAAATAACATTCAAAATTATTCGATTCCGAATTGAAGCCCCAATTAAATATAGGTTGAGCCGCTTATTTAGGA